CGTCCCGCTCTTGGCCGTCGAATCCCGGTCGCCCCAACTGTTCTTCCAGCTCTTGGACTCCGGAGCCGTCGACCTACTGAAGTCCTTGTCCTCTCCAGAACCATGCGCAGGGGTGAAGAGGCCTGCCGGGAGGCTTGTAGATCGTGCTTGAAGTCGTTGGTCGAGGCAGCACGAGCAAGGGGCAGCTGGAGCCCTCCATCTTGGGTCACCACCGACGTTCCTTGAGGACCTTCATGAAAGGTGGCACGACGGAGAGCGAACAAAAGCTGGAACACGGACTGCCGCGAAGAAGGCGGAAGTTTCGCGATGTACGGGGTGTGGTAGATGTGCCCGAAAGCAACGGTGTGCGGTGGGGGGAATTGTGCACGGACAAGTTGTTTGATGCCAGCCCATGCAAAAAGAGCTGCCAATTTATCCTCATCGTGGAAGGTGACACCTTTTGCAGGTATCTCCAGCGGGCAGGACAGGAACGCTGTATCTCCAACGTGGAACTCGTACACCGTGGTTGCCACCGCAAACGATGCTCCGTCTTCAGCACCGGCCGGAAGACCCAAAGTCACCGGAACCTCCGGAGTCGCTGTCCTCTCCCGCTCCTTCTCGTTCGTCGGAGAAGCCGCCACCTCCCGCTCCTTCTCGTGCGGCGAGGCGGTANCGCCCTAGCCGCTTGGAGATACGCCTCACGCTCCGCCAGAACAGCCGCACGTTCCTCCTCCTGCTTCCTCGCCTCACCAGCCAGAGCAGACTCACGTTCCTCCTCCTGCTTCCTCGCCGCAGCAGCCCGAACAGCCTCACGCTCCTCCGCAGCAGCCAGAGCAGCCTCCCGTTCCGCCAAGCGCTCCGCGTCCTCGCGCTTCGCCTGCTCTCGCGCCTCCGCCTCTGCTATCTTCCCGTCAAGACCGTCGCACCACATCTCGTTCAACCTTTGGTACGCCATAACCTCGTCGTGGGGCAAGAGGATTAATTTGACTTCCGGCGGGAGCGAGAAAGGAGGAACGAAAAGGGGGGAATCAGACGACAGATGGGCCGCTTTTACAATATCCTCCAGAGAGACACGTCCGGTGTTGTAGGCCCGCTCCAGTTCCGCCGGATCTTCTGTGGCGATGTTGTCCAGCAAATTATCGACTGTGAACACCATGGGCATGGGGGGGCTCTCGCCTTCTGCACCCGCCGCTGGAAACTGCTCTGCGGTGGGAGCCTCGCCCTCGGGTTCGTAATCCAGGATTTCCACATTGTCGCCCAGGAGTTCCACATTGCCGCTGGACATGGTGTCCTCTTTGTTAACAAGATCAGGGCCAGAGAGAGGGTAGCTACGAACGATTGTGGAAAGAGCAGCAGGGCCAGAAACAGCAGATGTAGCATAGCCAACCGCAGTTGAGGCAGCAGCACCAAGAGCAGCAGAAGCAGTAAAGCCGGGTGCAACTTCGGGAAGAGCAAGCCGAGGTCCATGCGAAAGGCGGAGATATCCACAAGATAGCATAC